TATCTCAAAGGGCTGATAAGTAGCCACTGCCCAGAGCCCCCCTGATTGCTCTCAACTAAGGTCCTTGCCCGTGACCCGCTTCCCACCATCCAGTGACTAAACATGCCAGGCACAGCAGAGGGTCTTCAGGATCCCACTCCAGACTTACCAGCTACTGGAGTTCATTTGGACTCACCAGTGCCCATGCCATACAATTGTTAAACATTTTGAATATCACACCTAGTTTTATCCATTTTCCTTTGTTTTTTTTTTTTTTTTCTTGTCTGCATGTTAGAAAAGCTTTCAGCAACCATTGGTAGGCTCAGGAGTGGTCTGGTGGTTGCACATAGAACTATGTTCTACAGTTTCAGGTGATCAATTTTCAGGGCATGAGGCAGTGACCAGGGGCAGGAGTCTTGTGATGATTTAGAGTAGAGCTGAGTGGTCCTGGCCTCACTGGCAGGTCAGGTTTCAGGTGATCAATTTTCAGGGCATGAGGCAGTGACCAGGGGCAGGAGTCTTGTGATGATTCAGAGTAGAGCTGAGTGGTCCTGGCCTCACTGGCAGGTCAGAGCACTGTGACTTGGACCTTTTCCTCTAATTCGTCTAATTAGGGAATCAAATGAACATATCAAACTAAAGAAAAGTATAGTCACTAACTTACTTGATAGAGAAGGCAGCATTGAAGAGTGTTCAGGGAGCAAGCCCTGACCTGTCTGATTTCAAAACAACTTCTACTTCTTTCTAGCTGTGTTTTCTTGGACAAATTATCTAACTGCTCTGTCTCTCGATTTCCTCACCTGTAAACTGGGGATAATGATAACGCCTACTTCAGAGGGATATCAAATATCCAATCTGTGCACTTGGTAGAGTGTCTGGTTCACATGAAGCCCTCAATAAATGTAGCTGGTATGATAAGGAAGAAATAAAAATTAAAAATTAATTCCATGTTATCAGAGAACTTGGAAGATACTGGAGAGCTTAGAGACTATCTAGTCCACACCAAGTTTGCCCATGAGGGGACTGAGGCCTCATGAGATGAAGTGACTGACTCCAAGTTACCCCTGGTACTCAGAACCTCCTAAAGGTGAATGATAATTCTCCCTCCTTTACCATAAGGCTTAGGTAATGAATCGAATAAATCAGCCAAATAAAGCAACAGTATTTAGGAGAAAATGACCTAATTCCAATGAATGTGTTGCCAAAATGGCAAGTGTACAAAGAAAAAAGAGCACTGCTCCTAATCCTATACCTTGTGATACTTATGCCCATGGGAAGGTGGTGCCCAGCAGGGCCAAGAAGTTCCTGCTCAGGTGGGAGGTACGACCTGGCAAGGTGGGTAACATGCTTGAACTTGTGTTGAGGGCAGGAAGGAAGTGGCTGCAAGCTTTCCAGAAAGGGGAGTGGAACAGAACTGCCTTGGTTCTTGAGGACCCTCACCCACTTGATGTGGAAAGGGGTATATGAGAGTACTTCAAAAAGTTTGTGAAAAAATAGCATTAAAAGATAATATGAGTGTTTCCACAAACTATCTGAAGTACCCTCATATTTATACACAGTACTGAGAGAACATGGCTCTATTTTTTAAATTATCAATTTAAAGGATTTAGTAACTTTGAAATATAACACCAAGTCCTCAGTCTCCAGCAGTGTACAGGATCAGTGTAGTCTTCACATTTCTATACTAACTTAATTTGCATAGTTCTTTAGTCTCCACCTATAAAACTACACGCAGAGCTTCCAGCTACTAGCCTTTTCCACTATAATTTAATGCTCTGCATTAGGCCCTGATACTCGCAGGTTTCATGATCTGCTACAATTACTTGGAGGTTATCATCTGTAAAGGAAGAAGGGAAATACCCCTCCCCCTCTTCTCCAAGCTCTGTTCTGTACAGGTGTGTCAGAGGCCCCCAAGACTACCCTCAGTTCCAGTGATTCACTAGAAGGACTCACAGAATTCAGAAAAGCTATCAAACCCATGGTTATGGTTTATTACAGTGAAAGGGTACAGACTGAAATCAGCAAAGGCAAAAGGCACGTAGGCTGAGTCCAGGGGAGACCAGGCACCAGCTTCCAATTGTCCTTTCACATGGAGTCATACAAAACAGCGTTTTATTCTCTGCAGTGATGCATGACAACATGTATTGCCAATGAGAGAAGCTCACGCGAACCTTAGTATCTCAGGCTTTGATTGGAGGTCAGTCACCTACGCATGGAGCGCCCACTGACTCAGTTACTCCATCTCCAGCCCTCGCAGAGGTCAAACTGGTAGAGTATAGCCCAAGGACCCCACCGTAAATCACGTTGTTAGTATAAACTCTCTGGCAAGGCCCAAGGCCCCAGGTATACTAAGACACTTTCATTGGGCAGGATATTCAAGGCTTAGCGGTCATCTCCCAAGACCTGGTAAGGACTAAACCTTTCTTTGGTATGTGCAGGTCCAAGCTTGCTGAGTTAACACTTTCCTGAAAAGGGGGTCTCCCCACAGGGCCCAAAGATAGTACACAGTTCAGCGTCAGCACATTTGTCTCCTACTACTCCTACCCCACCTGCCAGGACAAATGAGCCCACACTCCTTGAGACCTGCACAACCCTTGGATATCCAGATCTGTCATCAAGTGTGGCTCACGACAGAGTCCATCTTCCTCAGAGGATGAGTTCTCTCTTAGAGACCTTCTTTAATACTTAGCATCTGTCAGGTCCCCACCAATTCTCTGCACACACATGTATGCAAAGCCCAATCGTTCCCTCAGCCCCTACATAAAGCAGAGGATAAAAGCAATTATTTCTGGATATCCCTAAATCTCCATTTAAGATCACAGGGATTTAACAATGTTTTCAGTATTTTCAACCTGTTGCTGAAGCTTCTAGGCCTAGGAATGCAAGAAGAAAAAAATGAGGGAGGATTTTTTTAATAAAAAATTTTTTTTCTATGCTATTTTAATTTTTTTATTTTAACATTTACTTTTACATATTTGTAGGGTATAGCATGTTTCGATACATGCATATACTGCACAATGATTCACTTAAGGTAGATAACGTAGTTTTGAACCTGTTAGTCCACCCCTTCTCCTCCCTCCCACTCTTCTTCCCTCCCAGCCTCTGGTAACCATTCTTCCACTCTCTGCTTCTATGACAACCACTTTTTTTTTTTTTAAGGTTCCACATATAAGTGAGATCATGTGGCATGTGTCTTTCTTTATCTTTCTGTGCCTGACTTACTTCACATGGCATGATGGTTTCCAGTTCCATCCACATTGCTGCAAATGATAGAATATCATTTCATTAGCTGAACAGTACTTTTTTTATCCATTCATCCATTGAGGGGCATTTAGGTTGATTCCATCTCTTGGTTATTGTGAATAGTGTTGTGATGAACATGGGAGTGCCGGTGTCTTTCTGATATATTGATTTCCTTTCCTTTAGGTCTATACCCACTAGTGGGATGGCTGGGTCATAAGGTAGGTCTATTTTTAGTTGTCTGAGGAGCCTCCATACTGTTTTCCACAATGGCTGGACCAGTTTATGTTCCCACCAACAATGTAGGAGGGTTCCCTTTTCTCTGCATCCTTGTCAGTATTTGTTACTCTGTCTTATTCTAACTGGGGTGAGATGATATCTAATTGTGGTTTTAATTTGCATTTTCCTGATGATTAGTGATTTTGAGCATTTTTTCATGTTCTTGTTGGTCATACGTATGCCTTCTTTTGGGAAATGTTTGTTCGGGTCCTTTATCCATTTTTGAAATTTGGGTTATTTGTTTTCTTTTACTGTTGAGTTGTCTGAGTTCCTCATATATTCTGGATACTAGCTCTTTGTCTGATGTGTAGTTTGTAAACACTTTCTCCCATTCTGTAGATTGTGTCTTTGCTTTGTTGAGTGTGTCTCTTGCTGTGCAGAGGCTTTTCAGTTTGATGCAGTCATGAGGGTGTATTTAATGATAGGTGGGAATAGTGTAAATCACTTCAGCATTTAGACAATTACAAAATATTTTTCCAAAGTGGTTTTCTTTGAGATTGTAATGTTTTTGTTTCACATAATCTGATGGGGGACATAAATTAGGTATTTTGGCTCTAGTGGCCTCTGGCTAAGGTTGCATCAGAAGATGACAATAAAATTAATTCAGAGATAATTACAGTGCCCTTAAAGGACTCTATCATCTCTTCTGCTTCATATTTTCACATGGAGGCTAAAACAAATTTTCATGAAAGTACCATGATATGGATAATCCATCCATAGAAGACTGAGAGTCAACTAAGTATCTAGGAGAAATATTTGATCTGAGGAAATTATGTTTTTAGTTAATCTAATTTATTTCCCTTTATTAGAGATGAATCCAGTGGCTAAGAGAGTTATACAAGAGGATGACTCCATTAATATAACTTGGATTTTAAACCAGAGCTTTTGCTAACTTCTCTTACATTTAGAATATTTTAAAATAAATATATCCAAAAGGGAAATGAGATTTGAAAATTAATCATTATAAATACTGAGCACTAAAAAATAAGAGTTAACATTCATTGAGCGCTTACCCCATAAGTGTACTTTACAGTAATTTATTGGCTTAATCTTTACAATAACCATTTGAGAGAAGTAATTTTATCATCCCCATTTTATAGACGAAGAGCTTGAAATGCGTACATTTTAGCTATTATAAAAGAGAACAGGCTTGTTATTATGTCAAAGTATGGTAGATTAGGGATTGAAGTGGAAATATTTTTATTCCTTCTGAATTTGTCTTATTTTGAATTATTGGGAGAGCCTCATGAAAATCTAGTGGGAAATCTGTTAATTATTTTTTTAAAAAAAGTTTTCATGTAAATTAAATGCTGTCAGGTGTTCATATATCTGTAGCACAGTCACAAATATTTTAAATATAAAACAGCATCGCTAGTGATAACTTGCTAAAGAATAAGGTTTATTGAATACAAAGAATTGACAACAGATTAAATGCTGTCAGGTGTTCATATATCTGTAGCACAGTCACAAATATTTTAAATATAAAACAACATCTCTAGTGATAACTTGCTAAAGAATAAGGTTTATTGACTACAAAGAATTGACAACAGTTTTCTATAGGGTAATCAAATGAGTCATCATATTTGCATGTGACATTCTTCCCGATGAATGGGGAGATACTGCTATTGATTGCTGAGAAAGAGAAAGTAACAGAAAGACAACAGGACAGACATTTTTCCTAGACTTGCTAATTTTTTCAGGACCGATATATAACGCCTTTTCTTCTCGGAGGGAATTTGGCATATGTTCTCTGTTGTGTCTCAATTTAATTGCTTTGAGATTTCTCTTCCAGGGAGTGGAGCCTGGTGGTAAGTATTTTGCTGCGTTGGTCTACCTCCTCAAGAACTTTCTTAACCACTATGGGTTTGGCTGAATCTGAAAATTAAAATTTAAAAAGAGATTTTAGGGAGCTAAAAATAGATGAATAAGAAATTATATCCATTAAAGGAATAATATGGTTTTTATATAGGATGAACTATGCAGTAAGCACAAACACTTAGACTCATATTTGGTGAATTTTGATTGCTTGGTTAGGTGAAAACATGGTGACATGTTACTTTGTTTAAAATTAGCACGCATCACTAAAGTTAGACTTCTAGCACACACTGATACTACTACAAATCTTTATTGTATCTATTCTTACTAAAGCATGGTAATATAGAGAAAAGCTGTGCATTGAAAATGAAGTAGTATAGCATAACAACAGAATTTCATTTTAATTACCTTTGACTTGATTTCCCACGTTTCCAGATCCATATTCCTTAGACTTGTAACCTCCAGACTTACAAGCCCTGTGAAAATATCACAAAAGCGTGGTTTAGAGAGCACCCCTTCAATCCTAGATTCACCATGAGGTTTTCTTTCGCTCTTTGGTGAGAACATACTCAGTGGTTGAAACTACTCTGCTTTAGCATTAAGAAAAGACATTTTTAATGTTCACCATAAACACAGGGCTTGTTGCGTTTTGGTTTTGTAAGATGCTGCTAATTTGTATCTTGGCAGTGGAGTATGATGTTTGCTATGTAGCACTCGTATTAAACGCACCCACGTTAGTTCATGTTCACTTTCCAGGGACCTAAGTTTCAAGCAGATGTTAGTATTTCACATCTTTTCTGTAAGTTATTTCACCTACCCATCATCCCCTCCTATGAGGAGGCAGTAGGTCTCAATTTCTTTCTCCAGGTGGACCTTGATGTCGAGGAGCTGCTCGTACTCGAGTTTCTGGCCCTCGGTCTCGGTTCTGACCTGGTGCAGCTGCTCCTCCAGGGCCCCGATCTGAGCCTGGATCTGCGCCAGCTGCGTGCAGTAGTTGCCCTCGGTCTCTGTCAACGAGCACTCCAGGGAGTGTTTCTGCCAGGAAACCATAAAAAGAGCCTGAGACAGACATACCCACATGCAGAAACTTCTTTGATATCTAATTTTCTCCTCTTGTTAACTTTACCTTTAATTGTCTTACATTTCACATTGTTAAAGTGACTCTATGACACTGCTTTAAATGAGCAAATCTTTCTTTTTGGCAGACTAGATCTAAAGACATTGGTGTTGCTGCTTTAGCTATGATATATGCAACCCTATTCTTTCCTTACGTTTTAAGACAATTAAAAACATATACGTGGACACATTTTCAATACTGTTAAGGGCTTTAAAATCAACTGGCAGATATTTAAAATGATAACCTGGGAGATGTTAAGAAATTGTCCTTTTCATACCGTGGCTAAGAGGGACTGGAGTTCAATTTCCAGGGTTTGGAGAGTGCGCTTCATCTCGGTCAGCTCGTTTCGGGCTGAGGTTGTGGCTCCCACGTCCTCGGAGATCTGCTGCTGCAGCGAAGCGCTCTGAAACGGCGGGAGGGAGAGAGCAAATCTCAGTTTTGTGAACGTCACTTCAATGCACAGGGATTGTTTTCTGCAGGAGATTCACCTTTTCGTTGAACCAGGTCTCCGCGTCCCTGCGGTTCTGCTCGGCCAGGGCCTCGTACTCGGCTCGCATGTTGTTGAGCAGAACCGTGAGGTCCACGCCGGGGGCCGCGTTCATCTCCACGTTCACGTTACCTCCAGCCGCGCACTGCAGAACCTGCATCTCCTGGAGGCGGGAAAGTTCAGCTCAGCTACCCCGGAATCTCACAGAAAGTCTAGAAGCTTAGCTTTGGAAGGATTCTTAGAGTTCCTTTGGTTTCCCCTTCCCCCACGTTTTATATTTTCTGTCCAGTTGACTTAACTCTCAAAGGTAAACTCACTCCCTGCCTCACTCTGCAAGAATTTTAATTGCTCCAGAGCTCTCAGTCACTGCCCGCTAAACTCCAGTTACTGTAACCCCAACTCATCGGTTTTAGTTCTGCTACTCAGAAAAAGTCTTAATTTCTTTTCCACATGAAAGTCCTTAAAATCTTGAAAATGAATTGTCCTCGATCTCTTATTCTACTTGTTGATAGTGTAAATGTCTCCACCTTTGTGAACCGGTCTTAATTCCACTGGAGACCAGTTTTGATGCGTTCTCAACTCAGCTACATCTTGGCACAGACAGAATGAACATGGTCCAAGTGCTGTTTGAAAAATTCCGAACAAGTCAAAATATGATAAATAAATGTGTGTGCATGTGTGCATGTGTGCACTTGGCACAGACAGAATGAACATGGTCCAAGTGCTGTTTGAAAAATTCCGAACAAGTCAAAAGATGATAAATAAATGTGTGTGCATGTGTGCATGTGTGCATGTGTGTGTGTGTGTACCTTCCAGGAAAGAGCATTATCCTCTACAGAACCCCAGCTGTCTCTTAAGCCTACACAGGGACATCACAGTATCATGTTGGACTTTGGAGTCAGACATATCTCCGTGTGAGTTCTGTTTCTGCCCTTTAGTGGCTGTGTGAACTTGGCAAGGTGGCTTAACCTCTTTAACGTTTGATTCACTTGTCTGAAAATTGAGGATGATGAAAAATCCTTCTCTGGGTTGTTAAAAATGTGAAAGAAGTAATAATAATAAGACTTAGTCACTCTATCTGGTATATAAATGCTAAACAAATGCTGGTTAATATGATTGTTATCATCATGAAAGCTGGAATCTATTTTGCCGTCAAAGTCTACACATTATTCTGTATGAGCTGCATGCTGTTAGGGTAAAGTGAGTCAATTCCAAGATTGTGGATGGCAGGCATCACTGCTAAGACAGTGTAAATTGAAATAACACAGACCAGCTTATGTCTCTGCTGCAGAAAATTTCCTCTCTACGTATGGATTGGGTTTTTTTCTTGTATCTTTGATACCAGTCAATGGATTAGTCTTGATGATGGTAATGTAGGCTTTCTTTCCATCCTGCAGCAAATCCCTGAGGCTATTCTAGCATTCTTTCCTCTCTGATGGGCCCTATACATTCTTTATCACCAGATGTGGTTTTTACTTCTGAGGATTTAGTGAAAACTTCCTCAGCAGAAAAAGAAAAAGATAAAAAAGATATATATGGGTTGACTCGTAAATGAGGCATTGCAAAAATCAATTATTGCTTTCAGTTCACCGAGAACTTATTAACTACCATGGGCTATAACCCAACTTGAACCCCTATAACCAAATTAATGTTATTATTCAAGTAGTTATATTTATAAGACAGCCTTATGACTAATCAAGTAGCATTCTTGGTTTCCTTAGCTTGATCTCCTGCTTTAAGTATTTGGCTTGACTGTGGAAATCTTTTGACTGTTTAAAAATATCACATTTTCAAAGGAAAGATTTTTTCCCTTTTTAGAAAACAGTGGCTCTGGAAGCAATCCAGAAGATGTAATGGCTACATGATGCAATTTTGAATCTAGCTCCCAACAGCGACCACTTCGAAAGCATACTATTTGCTTGGAAGTGTAAATTCTGGTATAACAGCTTAATTTTAGCCTCATTATCTTTATAGCTATACCTATTAAAAATATGTATTAATGTTAAGTATGTATACTTAATGTGTGTATGAAGTAAATGTTTTAATGTTTTAAATCTGCCACTGTAACATAGAAACTTAGATCTAGTTTTCTTAGGGTGTCCTGAATGTATACTTATTTTATCTAATTAGATATAATCTCCTAAGTGGACCATTTTTACTTAGCTATAATTACACAACCAAAGCTCTTATAACCCTGATGGGTCTGAAAAGCGTGATTCCCTTTTTTTCCCGTGGGAAACTTGATAAGAGAACAAGGGTGTAGTTATATTTATAAGACAGCCTTATGACTAATCAAGTAGCATTCTTGGTTTCCTTAGCTTGATCTCCTGCTTTAAGTATTTGGCTTGACTGTGGAAATCTTTTGACTGTTTAAAAATATCACATTTTCAAAGGAAAGATTTTTTCCCTTTTTAGAAAACAGTGGCTCTGGAAGCAATCCAGAAGATGTAATGGCTACATGATGCAATTTTGAATCTAGCTCCCAACAGCGACCACTTCGAAAGCATACTATTTGCTTGGAAGTGTAAATTCTGGTATAACAGCTTAATTTTAGCCTCATTATCTTTATAGCTATACCTATTAAAAATATGTATTAATGTTAAGTATGTATACTTAATGTGTGTATGAAGTAAATGTTTTAATGTTTTAAATCTGCCACTGTAACATAGAAACTTAGATCTAGTTTTCTTAGGGTGTCCTGAATGTATACTTATTTTATCTAATTAGATATAATCTCCTAAGTGGACCATTTTTACTTAGCTATAATTACACAACCAAAGCTCTTATAACCCTGATGGGTCTGAAAAGCGTGATTCCCTTTTTTTCCCGTGGGAAACTTGATAAGAGAACAAGGGTGCATCTGTACAAATAACTTGACACCTATAAGACAAGTTGACCCTCATGTCTGTCTGACAACGAGTCTTCAGCACCAACTTCTTATTTAAGAGGTTAAGTAGGTGATCTCCTGGTTAGGTGGACAGTGTCTGCAGAGGGATAGCAGAATGCATATGGTCAGCTCTTACCTCCTTATGGTTCTTTTTAAGGTAAGTCATCTCTTCACTCAGGGTTTCGTACTGAATCTCTAGGTCCGTTCTGCACAAAGTTATCTCATCCAAAACTCTGCGTAGCCCATTGACATCAGCCTCCACACTTTGATGAAGAGCCAACTCGTTTTCGTACCTTAAAGAGTGTTAATGATTTTCCAATTTGTCACATGGTTGGGGACATAATCACCAATCAATGATCAATGCTAGAATTCTGGAATTTTGAAGTGGCAGAGTTAGCCACAAGAGACATTTTCAAAGTTTATTTTGTAATCATTATTATTTTTACTTATTTTAACATCTACTTGTCCATGTTTGTGGGGTACAATGTGTTGTTCAATACATGCATATATTGCACAATAATTCAGTTAAGGTAGATAGCATAGTTTTGTACCCATTAGTCCACCACTCCTCCTCATTATTATTTTTATTTTGAGGTATTTGACAGAAAAAAACTAGGGTATTGGGCACTAGTTTTATAGCAATTTACACTTCATATGTAATAGCCAAAGTATGAAAAGCTATAACATTCTGTTTATTTTACATCCAAGTGGCTTACAGTTTTGGAATAGGAATTGGTAATATTTAATGAAGGGATTAAAAAATAAATTCTATTTAAAGCCTTGCATTAATTGCCATGAATTCTTTTCACTCCGGGAGTCTACTTACTTTAGTCTGAAGTCATCAGCTGTCAGCCTGGCATTATCGATCTGTAGAACAGCATTAGCATTGCTGGTAGTGGAAACAACGATCTAGAAATAGGGAGTTTGGTTTTTTAAAGGCAATTTAAAAAACAAACAAAAACTGTTTTTTTTTTTTTAGATTAGGAAATGGAAATGATCCAAATTAATATAGTAGCATTTTTACCATGAAGTTAACCAACTAAATCCACTTTTCCTCATTTCCAATGCTAAATTTAAATCCCCTTTAAGAAATTAGAAGTAGGAGTGATAAATGTTTTTTGAATTCAGTGAGAAAGGAAAAAGAAAATTTAGAAACAAAAGCGTGTAAAAATGATTGTAAAATGTAATTTCTTACCTTATTTTTAAGATCATCGATTATTGGGAAATATCTACTATAGTCGTGATCAAGACCACGGCAAGAGCCGGGCCCAAATTTCTCATACCAGCCCTTGATCTTCTGCTCAAGGTCTGCATTTGCCTCCTCCAGAGCTCGCACATTCTCCAGGTAGGACGCCAGGCGGTCGTTGAGGTTCTGCATGGTCACCTTCTCACTGCCGGAAAGGAGGCCCCCCTCATTCACAGTAAAGCCAGCACAGGGGTTGCCTCCCCCTGCATTTCCTCCAGATGAGCTGCCACCGAAGGCACAAGAGAAGCCACTTCCAATTCCAGATAGGCCGCAGACATTTCCAGCCCCAAAGCTAGCTCCCCCGCTAGACAGCCTGAGTGATCCTGTGGTGGGACGGGGACAGGACCTCCTGGATCCACTGGAAAGTCGAAGAGACATGGTTTCAGGGCGAGCGTGGTGCAGAATTGTATTCGTGAAAGCCAGAATGGAGTGTCTTCTCTTCTCAGCTCTTTTGTTTGTCCTTTTATAGACAGTTCCCAAGTGTGGATGAAATTCTGCCTACATGAAGTAAAACACGGCTTGCCAGTCTCAGCAAGTTAGCATAATTGGATGATTTTTTCTAATTAGTAACTAACTTTGCTGGGCTCCTTTCTGTAGGAGGACAGTTGCCCTCAGGTTGGTGGTTATCTGAGAAGTGGGTCTGGGTGGAGCAATGTCAGGTTCATTATTACATTTTACAATTGTGAGTGAGTCATTCTTCACTTCCATCCTTAGAAGATAAACCTCATTAGTCCATTACAGAATAAAAATCTACCATCATGGTTTTGGGCTATTATGCCAAGGCAGGTTTTGATGTTTCTCAGACATTTTCTGCTTTTATTTTCACAATTCTTTCCACGTAAGTAGAGAATAGGACTGTAGTCGTTATTTTCCCAACCTGGTCCTTCAATCACCAGGCTTTATTTTATTTTATTTTTAAAATTCCTCTTGCCACTGTTTCTGACGGGCAGTTAATGTCCATTTTGACTGACGTGCATTATATTTTGTTGACGCTTACTTATGACTGGGCTAGTTGTCGTCTCTTATCCATTTTGGTAATTAGAAACACACCCATAATTGCTGTTGTGTTTTGTGGGGGTTTGGAAGGATATTAACTTATTTCCTGAGCTTGCAAAATTTGAAGCAAACGTGGAAGGAACTATTTCATTTGTGTTTACTTCGTTGTGGCTTAGCTCAAGTGAAAGTCATAAGTAAGCTCACTGTTTACTGGGTGTGGATTCATGTAGATTTATCCAACACCCTAAATATTATAGAAATGTTAAAAATTGACAAAAATTGTGTATATTTATGGTGTATAACATGATATTTTGATATACATATACATTGTGGAATGGCTGAATCAAACTAAGTAACATATGCATGACCTCACATGCTTTTTTTTGGTGGAGAGACCATTTAATCTACTCTTTTAGCAATTTTCAAGTATACAATATATTGTTATTAATTGTAGTCACCATGTTGTACAATATGAAAGTATCCCTGCTGTCTAACTGAAACTTTGTATCCTTTTACCGACATCTCCCCAATGCATTTCACTGAAGATTAGTGATATTGAGCATTTTTTCATGTACCTGTTGGCCATTTGTATATCTCCTTTTGGGAACGCCTTTTAAATTGGCTTATTTATTTTCTTGTTATTGAGTTGTTTGAGTTCCTTTATCAGATATATGGTTCACAATATTTCAATTAAATAGGTTCATTCATGTTGCTGAAAATGACAGGATTTCCTTCTTCTTTTTCTTTAAATTGAATAGTATCTCATTGTGTATATATATCACATTTTCTTTATCCATCATCTATGGATGAACACTGATGCCCTATCTTGGCTATTGTGAATAATGCTGCAATAAACATGGGAGTGCAGATTTCTCTTCAACATACTGGTTTCATTTCCTTTGGATACATACCCAGTAGTGGGATTGCTGGGTCATATGGTAGTTCTATTTTTAAATTTTTGAGGAAGCTCCATACTCTCTTCCATAAGGGCTGTACTAATTTACATTCCCACCAGCAGTATATGAGGATTTCCTTTCTCCACATCCTCTCCAACACTTATCTCTTGTCTTTTTTTTATAATAGCCATCCTAACAGGTGTGAGGCGATATCTCATAGCAATCGCAATTTGCATTTCCCTGAAGATTAGTGATTTTGAGCATTTTTCTATATACTCACTGGCTATTTGCATGTCTTCTTTTGAGAAATGTCTTTTAAATCAGGTTATTTGTTTTCTTGCTATTGACTTGTTTGAGTTTTTCTTAATATATTTTGGATGTTAATCCTTTATTAGATGTGTGCTTCACAATGTTTTCTCCCAGTCTGTGAGTTGTCTCTTCATGGTTTCCTTTGCTGTGTGGAAGGTGTTTAGTTTGATGCAATCCTATTTGTCTATTTTTGCGTTTGTTGCCTGTGTTTTTGGGGTAAAATAAAAAAATCTTTGCCCAGACCAATGTCAAGAAGTTTTCTCCCTATATTTTCGTCTAGTAGTTTTACAGTTTCAGGTCTTATGCTTAAGTGTTTAATCTATTTTAAGTTAATTTTTGTATATTGGGTGAGATAAGGGCCCAATTTCACTCCTCTGCATGTGGATCTCCAGTTTTCCCAGCACCATTTATTGAAGAGACTTCCCTTTCCCAATTGTGTGTTCTTGACACCTTTATTCAAAAATAAATTTACCAGAAGTGCTTGGGTTTATGTCTGGGATCTCTATTCTGTTCCATTGGTCTATGTGTCTGTTTTTGGGCCAGTACCATGATACTTTGATTACTATGAATTAGTAGATTTTGAAATCAGGTAGTGTGATGCCTCCAACTTTGGTCTTTTTGATCAAGGTCTTTTGTGGTTACATATGAATTTTAGGATTGCTTTTTCTGTTTATGTGAAAAATGTCATTAGAATTTTGATAGGGATTGCACTGAATTTGCAGATCACTTTGGGTGATATGGACATTTTAACAATTAATTCTTCACACCCATGAACATGGGATATCTTTCCATTTATTTGTTACTTCAATTTCTTTCAATCAATGTTTTATAGTTCTCAGTGTATACATGTGGATTCATTTTTATCTTGTCTTTAGTTTTTCAATTGGTAGTTCACAATTAAGGATGTTCAATAAATGTTTTTGGGATCTGTCACGTATTGGTAACAGTATTTTACTTTTTAAAATTTTTGGTTTTTTGCAAATACTCACTTTTTGGAAACAAGGAAGAGTACTCAAGTTTTCTAACCTTCATTTCAAGGAGTATGGTTGTCTGTTAAAAGCATGCATTTTGGAATTACAGTTTATGCTTGTATTAAGTATAAATCTGTCTTACCTAGATAGACAAGTCTATATGCTTAAGGAGGAAAGGGTAGATACATAAATATGGAAGTAAAATTGTTCTTGGAAAGAACAGAAATTTTATTGGGAATAAAAAGGAATGACTACTATTGGTGATCACAAGAGAAAGAGGGTCCAACCCTGTGTTTGTAAGATGATGCTTTAGCCAAGTGTTTTGAGAGAGCTGCGGATGCAGCTCCAGTCTTCCAATTTTTGTGAAATAGAGCCTCTGACGGACCCTCCTAGTCAGAACGAAAGAGTAATGAAGCATAATGAGGGAAACTATAGCCCAAGGGAGGGTGGCATCCAGTGACCAGGACTTAATCACTATGGGGGCAGAGAAGGGAGGTGCTGGGAGAGGAGCTAGAAGTGGACAGCTGCCAGAGAGATAAAGACCATAGGAATATTGTGGGCACCCTATACTAGAAGTCATGCTCCTAGTTGTGTCATTGATGATTATGCACTAAGAGTCTGCCTAATTTGTGGTCCCTCTTGGGTGGCAATGGAATCTTAGTATGAAAACACAATGTCCTTGAGTGAACTTCCTATGCTGATTTTGTCCTGTTCAGTGGGCTGTGGTCTCCACTGTGGAGAGGGCGATCTGGATTTGAATCTAGGTCCCATTACACATCAGTTGTGTAGCCCTGGGGAAATTCCTTCATCTATTTGAATATGTTTTCTCATATAGAAAATAAATATAACACCTACCTCATAGCCTTTATGAAGATTAAATTGGTTAATGCATGAAAAGAAAGTTAAAACACACTCAGTAAATGTCAGATATTGTCACTTTAGTTCTGCAATTGAAAGGTCTTCTAACTTGACTTGATCCAACTCCATACCATTGAAATTATAACCTCCATCACCACAGTGGTGGCCATTCATCACAAGAAGACCCCAGCAAAGGAAATTTTCAGCTGTATCTATATCTCAAGAAACTATCTCCAGGCTGAGGTCAACTAGCTTGTGTGGAAGTAGGAAATAATGGCAATCAAGATTATCTTTGAGACTTGGAGATGCAGCTTCAGTAAGCCCATCACCTTGAGATGGTATAGTTCAATGTTTATGGGCCATTCTGAATTCCACATTTTCTACATACCAGTTGTCCTGTCATGCAAGTTGGAAATCCAGGTTATTGCAGAGCTCCCTGCCTCATTTAACACAAATTGAAAAAACTTTGTTAGCCTAGAATTTTGCTGCTCTTCAGCCCCTGGTGGACTTTCCAAAATAATTTGTTAAGTATGTCAGGCAGAATCTTGTGTGTAGGAGGATATGAGCAAGATTTAGAACTACCCGCAGTAGTAGCAGTGCTAAATTTGCTTAGTCATCACTATGGTAGGGGAAGAGAGATACATGTGCTATAGGATGGAAAAACAGTTATCCGGATTCAAATTCGACAAACTAACATTTGCTGATTATCCATGCAGGCTAGGCATTGTAAGAGTGAACAAATCCTAATAATCAATGGTATAATCTTTTACTTCCACAGAAGCCCAAACCCAAAGAGATCAAGTCATTTACTTAGTTAATATGGGACAGATTCGGGACCAGAGATTAGCGCTAGTGCTCCTTCCTATTTGTCCTGTTATTAATTGAGGTAAATATGACTGTGAAGTGAAGCACATTATCTTATTAGTATGTCCTTAATACTGTCACATTGAGATCAATCGTAAAAACAAAAAAGAACCAGATTTATAAAAAACAACTTGCAGCAGAATTTTTTAATGAAATGGCAAAAAGTTCTCCAAATAAAAACATAAACTAGGGACAGAGCAAGATTTTTGCTTTTCTTGAAAAAGATTACGTACAAAGAACATGAGAAAAGAAAGGGAAGGAAAACAAAATCTAGAACTTTAATTTTTAAGAACAGAAATGAATAATTTTTTGGAAAAGCAGGCTTTTTTTGTAAGTAATTTGTTCCTCATTATGGTGCTTTATTTATTTATTCTGTTTTGGCAGCTGGCGGTAGGAGATCTGAACCCATGGCCTTGGTGTTATAGGGCTGTGCTATAACCAACTGAGCTAACTGGCCAGCCCCTGTTATGGTGCTTTAGAAGGTGCTCATTGCTCCATTGTAATGTTGCTTATTTTAGAGGATTTTTCTTCTACTGAGTGAACCCTCAGTGAAAGGACGTTGCCAAGTTGATCCAGCTCCTCAACCACTGTTTTGACAACAGTTTCTTCTGTTGAGTCTAAAATAAAATAAATGAAAGTTTAGAGATCATTCTTAGCAGGTTGAAAAGTATTTATTCATAATGGGTTTTTTTAAAAAAATGCTTTTTAAAAATGGTTTTTGCAAGTTTGTGGTAAATTGAGATATAATACTGTGTTTGACATCAATGCTTACTTAGCAAGACCCTGGACTTTCTTATATTTACCACTGTTTTTTTTAGAGCAATGGGCCTTTGAAAACATAAATGAAATATGGATTAAAACAACCTAAATGTCAGGCAAATGTAGGTAAATGTGTCGTCTTCTTTTAAGTAACCAACTTGCCTTATTTTTGTGTTTAAAGTAAAGTAGCTCTTTTATCAAAACATTGAAACTGTGAAAAATAACACATTCCAGGTAAGAAAAGATGCTGGGGGAGTGATTCCTCATTTCATTTCAGTGATTTCATTATTTAATCACATCTGTTCTATAGGATTACAAAATACAAATATTGAGAACTCTCATCATGACCCCTCATCCCTTCGTTCACTAGAACTAAGCTTAGAAACAAATTTTATTCAGTTAACTAATAAGTGACTTATTTAATACAACTGCTGGAGTTTAAAAGAGCTACATCAAGTAAGAAACCTTCTGTACCTTTGACATGATTTCCAGAATTTACAGGTGTAGATCCTGTTGATTTATAACACGTGGATTTGCTTTTTCTGTGAAAAGAAGAGTAAATTACTGCACTTTTTTTCTTTCATTAAGGAGCTCATAAATAATTATAATTTGGGAATAAAAGATTTGGAGTCTAGTTTCAATAAGATTCAAATTCCTCTTATGGGGCCGGCCTGGTGGCGCACTGCTACAGTGCGCTGCTTGGGAGTGCGGCCGGGCTCCCGCTGAGGGTTCGGATCCCACATACAGACCGGTTCCCGCTCACTGGCTGAGCGA